GAGGAGGTGATTCCACTTCCACCATGACCAGGGATCAAGAACTACAAGTCATCGGTGAGTAAGCAATAAATCAATTCATTGAGCACCTATTTGTCTTTCATCTTCAAGAAAAGGAAAAAAAAAAGAAGATGGTTATTATGATTTCTTATTATTCAAGGTATGAAAAACACGTGATAAGTGACAAGAAAATATATTGTATACTAATTTCTCGCATTACTTTCCCTTACTTACCAGTTCAGCAGGGGAAAGAAGCAAATCCAATAGACCAGGACAAACAAAGTCCGGACAGTGTCAGTCAAACAGCAGTATCTCACACAAACACGTACAGACGGTGGCTCCGGATAGCTCTGTATACATTCTTTGTCATTTCAGGCCAATCAGTTGCTACAATTCTNGGCAGANTATACTANGACAANGGAGGAAACAGCAAATGGCTAGCAACAGTGGTTCAGCTTGTAGGCTTTCCTGTTCTGCTTCCATATTACCTCTTGTTATTCAAAACACACACAACAACTCATAAAGATACCGAAACAAGCTCTCATTGGAACCGTGTATTGGTTTACGTAGTGCTTGGACTTCTTGTCGGAGCAGACTGCTACCTCTACTCTATCGGATTGCTTTACCTACCCGTTTCTACCTATTCCCTGATATGTGCATCTCAATTAGCCTTTAACGCTGTATTCTCGTATTTCCTCAACTCACAAAAACTCACTCCTATCATTTTGAATTCTCTCTTCCTCCTGACTATTTCCTCCACCCTCCTTGCATTCAATAACGAGGAATCAAGTTCCACAAAAGTTACAAAAGGNGAGTATGTAAAAGGTTTCATATGCACTGTTGGTGCATCGGCTGGGTATGGCCTACTGTTATCCCTTCAACAGCTAGCCTTCCGTAAAATCCTCAAGAAGCAAACCTTCTCAGAAGTTATGGATCTGATCATCTACGTGAGTCTAGTGGCCAGCTGTGTTACCGTGGTGGGGCTTNTNGCTAGCGGCGAGTGGAAAACTTTGAGCAGTGAAATGGAAAACTACAAACTTGGGAAGGTATCTTACATTATGAACCTAGTGTGGACAGCTATTACCTGGCAGGTGTTCANCATNGGTGGCACAGGACTNATCTTNNAGCTTTCTGCTNTNTTNTCAAATGCAATAAGCGTTTTGGGATTGCCCGTGGTTCCTATCCTGGCTGTCATCATTTTCCATGACAAAATGAATGGGTTAAAGGTGATTTCTATGATCTTAGCTATTTGGGGTTTCACATCCTATGTCTACCAACACTATCTTGATGACAAACACTTGAAGAAAAGTCGTGGAATCTCAACAACGGAATCATCTGACCCACCAAAAGCAGAAGGATGAAGTGGGCAATCAAAATTAGCTGAGTAAACTTACTTTTCTTATCGGCCTGAAGGTAGCCGACAGTGAAGGATGAGCAGAATACCTCTGTGATGTAACTCTAGTGAAGTCTCAGCGAAAATATTTTGTTTACATGATTGTGACAGGAAGTAGATTTAATTTAAACAAAAAGTGGATGACTCTCGATTAGTTGTGACTTGTGAAGAAGCTTACCCATATCAAATTCAGAACAGCTGATTACAAAAGTTCAGTATTTAAAAAACTTAGTTCATAGCAACCAAAAAAGAATATAACGAAATTGTGACTCGATCCTGTATATAAAGAGAGAGTGTAGGCTCTGTAGCTATTCTAAGTTATTGTAACAACTAATGAAATGTGAGGAGAGTTGCAATCAGCGCTTACATCAGGCACCCGACATAGTGAGCCCGAGGATACTTCTTTTGTAGTTGAGGCCATTGAACAAAGAATTGATCAGCTATCCTTAACTTGTAAAGCAGCAATCCACTTAACGAGAGCTTTTTCACTCTTGCTACACTCTCAACATAAAAAGATAGATGACCATCTAATTCCCAGTACCTGTAACCATGGATGAGACTAGAACTTAATAAACTTCTACGTAAAACGGAGAAACCATGACTAAGAATTAAATCCAAAACATGTTTTTTTGCCACAGATCCATTCAAGGTCATCTAAAAAGTAGAGGAAAGAACTGCGTGATAAAATATGTCTGAAGTGTGTATACCTTGAGCAAGAAAGCGATCACACAGAGAGGAATACAGGTCCCAGGACCATTGCAAAGAATCTGAAAAACTTCAACCAGATTCAAATTCTTTTAAGCAGAAGCCTTTCAAAAAAATAGGAAGCATTCCAATAAAGAACATACAAGTTGTGGTCTGATCCGGATCATTAGCCACAGAGCATGAACAATAGCAACAATAGTAGTCCAGACAGAGAGGAATACAGGTCCCACATTGAGTAAATGCCAACTATTTCTTCTCGACTCCGGTAATATTGGCTAAACATAAGTTCCTCCTTGACATAACTCATCTCTTGGTCAACAATAGTGGCATCTTTGATGAAGAAAGACAAAGAAATTAAATTCATGACAAGAGAGAAGATATAGTTGGCATTTACTCAATGCGGGACCAAGAACAATGAAAACTTAGACGGTGATCGATTCCTAATCCCTGAATATATAGCTATGCATATCTCACCCATATCAAAGGAACAATCATTGTGTAGCATATTAGCAACCAAAAGAATTGATAATAAGATACCTAATACTTAGATTCCATTCAGAATATCCTTAGCTCCTCTTTGTTCATCTCCGAGGAGGTGATTCCACCTCCACCATGAACGGGGATCAAGAACTACAAGTCATCGGTAAGTTCAAGGAGCACCTACTTGTCTTTCATCTTC